TCTGAGCTGGGACCAGACTGAGGTTGGAAGGAGAGGAAGATGCTTTTCTCACTCAGACCCTGAAACTTCTGCAAAATGAGGTCACCCAGGGCCCAGGGGATCGACTTGTGGGATGAAATGCCCCATGTGCGGAGCTGGCCCCTCTTCAGGCCTGTTCCCAGTTCCTCCCGTTCACTGTCCCTCCCCTGCCAGCCCGGAGAGCCGAGCAAGAATTCAGTGCCCTCCTAACCAGATTTACTCAGAGACTTCCCTACATCCTCCAGCCAAACCTCCCCGCCGTCAGATGCCACGGTTGGTACTTCTCCTGTGATGCATACCTATTAGGCCTGTGACACCACAGGTGATGTGAGCCTCGTTCCCCGGGTGACGGGCACCCAATGGGAGAGACTCCATAGGACCAACTGATCCCTCCTCACTGGGCTCACGCACGGCCCCTCCTCTCGGGAGCTCTGACGAACTCTTCGGTCCAATCATCTCCTGGTAGGGTGGCCTTACACACCTCACATTTCCTACAAATGCAGTTAATGGAGCCCGGAGGGCGGGGGCAGTCTGGGTGGGCAGCAGGATGCTGGGCTGTGATGCTCAGAAAGGAGTAGGGGAAGGGACTCGCGTCCTTTGGAGGAACATTCTCTGATGGGGGAGGATGAGTGGGTTGCCCTTTGGGCCCAGGAAAGGAATTCAAACGAGCAAAGGTGGAAGGAAAAGAATCAGGGCACTGAGAGTCGAGAGTGGATGAAAAGCACCCAAGAAGAGGGAGTGCAGCCCGGGATGGCCTGGACCTGGTCTCACCTGCAGGCTGGGGGTGACATGGCAGCTCTGAGGTCTGGGAGGCACCTCTCTCCCCTGTACCATCTCCGGGGCTGTGCCGTCCCAGCGGATGGGGCAGGGAGGGCAGGGCCTGTGCTTTCCTTCTGTGTCTCTTTTTCTGTCTGTTTACCTCTCCTACACCCTGCCCACATGCTCTTCCTCCCTTCCTACTTCTGTGGCTCTTGGTTTTACCCATCCCTGCATCCTTTTCCCCTCCCGCCCCACCTGGAAGATGGATTCTGTGCCCAGTTGAAACGGAGCAGGACTCTATGGTCCTTTCCCACCGTGTCCTCCACCTGCCTTTTGTCTGGGGAAAAACTTTAACCAAAGAGTAAGTTTAATCAGAGAAGTGAGAAAATGCAGAAACCAAGGAAAACAGTCCAACAAGACTAAACAATAATAGTTTAGTCATTAGGCAAAATCAAGGACCTTTAGTTGCTCTTCAAGGGCTACAGATAATATTCTGAGCCATGTCCTGTGAGCTGTCTTGTAGATACTGAAACCCCCAGCAGATGGAAGAAGTGAACTACATGATGACCAGACTGTAGCCATGACATAAGCCGCCACAATTCCGAGAACTGGCCTCAAAGAAATGGGAACAAACCAACCCTGGAACTGAAGACTAACTGTCCTTAAAACGATCAGGATGACGCTGGTCAGGCCACCGATGACCAACTTCAAGGTGACTGTCAGAGCTGACTGTGCTGTTTCTGCACATAGCCCACTCTCTCTGTCTATAAAAGCTCTTGCCCACTGGTTGTCACTGGCGGGGAGTCAGCCTTTGGACAGGAGCCCACCCTCCCCCTCCCCAGGATGCTGGCCTCTGAAATAAAGCAAACCTTCCTTTCCACCAAGCTTGCGTCTTTGCTGGCTTTTGAGTGGCAAGCAGCCAGACCCCGCTCTGGGTCGCACAGTGAGCTGTTATTTCAGCGGGGCCCCTGGCCGCCGTCAGCATTGCATTTTCTAGGATTTTCCTGAGGGTTTCTAGTGCCTGATGATGGGTCCAGACCAGCACTGGGATTCGGAAGCTGAACAGGGGCTAAACCTTCACTACCTCCTGGCTCCCCGCTCCTCTGTCTCTCTCTGTGGGCTCTCCTGCACCTGCCCTCGTGGTTAGGGGATTCCCAAGGACACACCCCGGCATCGCCCCTCTACAGGGTTTCTGCAGCTCCCGCCCTCAGCTCCCGCTTCAGACCATGTCTCCTGACCCAGGCAGGACCCAGCCCAGCCACCTCCATGTCTCCACAGGGAAACCCCTAACTCAGGTCTGAGCCCAACCTCAGGTCCATCTCTCAAACATCGCTTCATCTTGAGTTCTCTCCTCAGAGACCCCCCACCCCCACTCTCTCTTCCTCATTCTCTCCTCACTCTTTTCACATTCCCTCTGTCCCCAAATCACGGGATCACCCTGGACTCCCCTCCTCGGCTGCTGCCTTTGCTGACATGCTCAGCATCACACTGTCTGGACTCGGGGCTCAGGAACATTCATTTCCACGGCTTCATCCTGGCTTTCATCGTCTCTCACAAAACCCATCACAGAAACTCTCTCTGACCCTCCTATATCCTGACTCTCTCTGGGGGCACAGCGGGATGGGTCACTCGGGTCAAACTGCCTGTGGCAGTAACAGCAGCAGGCACCCCAGCAGGACGGGAGCAGGGCCCTCTTCTAAGTTCTCTCACATGCGTGTGGTCCTCACGACAACCATCCCACAGCTGGGGAGACTGAGACCCAGACACCCTGTGACAGGCTCCATCCAGGGGCAGCCAGACCAGGCCTTCATCTGCCAGGGATCCCCCTGCAGGAACCCAGCAGGGCCTCCACAAAATGGTCCAAATCGTACCTCTGGACTCATCACCCAAGGTCACAGCAGACACCGGGCAAGAAATCTCCTTCTGCCCCGGTAACAAGCCTGCTCATGTAGTCAGGGCAACAAGGCTGGAAGCCAGGAAGCTGGTCCCCTGTCTGCTTCGCCACCCTCAGGGCAAGCGAGTGCAGGGACTGAGGGCCTCAGGGATGTTCGGGGATGCTGGCAGAAGGGCAGGGACCGGGTGGAGGGAGGAGCCTCTTGCAGCCCCCCACACCCCAGGGATGGAAGTGGGCACCACGTTGATGACCCCCAGGTTTAGGAATCCAGCGTTCCATAAAAATGATCAATCCTGTGTTCTCCATCTCAATATTATGGAAAGACACGTAGTCAGTTTGTCATAGGAAAATACCAACTTTACAAACTATTTTTAAATGTATTAAGTTCAAGGTTCCAGTGACTAATCCACAAGCCATCTGTTAACAGAATTCTATGGTACACATTGCTATGTTCAAATTGGATAACCAGCAGGGACCTACTGTAGAGCACAGGGAGCTCTGCTCAATGTTATGTAACAACCTCGGTGGGAAAAGAATTTGAAAAGGAATGGATACATGTATATGCATAACTGAAAAAAAAATGTATCCCGGGGAAAAAAAAGAATTCTACGGTTCATATTTACTAACGATCCATCCTCACCCCTATTACACATGATCAGACCTAAAACTCAGAGGCAGACGAGAGCGATGGGCACACAGACCAGAGCAGCAAGAGGATGCACCTCCCCACAGCCTCCCCTCCCCCGCCCCTTCCAGAGACGTCGGCAAACCTCTTGAAAGGCAAGTAGCTAAACTCAGACATACATCACCTGACAATCAGGCAAGGACTATGAAACTTTATGTGAGCATTCATAAAGGCGAGGGAGCGTGAAATATTATTTTTCTTTTGATGACCCTCATTAAAGGTGAGCAGAGCACATGTTAAGAACAGTTTCCAGCGGGTTTATCTGATGAGGGATTGACATGAAGCGACAGTGAGCATGACCAACCCGCAGCGCCCGGCTCTCAGCTGCTGGAAAATTGTCGTCCACTCCCCAACGCGGCATCTCCATCCAAACATTCATGGCATTTCCTCCATAAAATAAAAATATTTCAACCTAATATATATATGAATTTAACAAATCTCTACTTGGGAACTCTTACTTTAAAAACATTGAATAACTGAAAATGAAAAGAGATGTATCAACGTATATGAATAAATTACTCTACATCAAAAGGAACAGATTAAACAACAAATTTAAAAGAAATTAGAGGCATACCTTGGAGATACTGCAGGTTCCATTCCAGACCACCACAATACAGCAAATATCGCAATTAAGAGAGTGACACAATATTTTTGGTTTCCTGGTGCATATTAAATTATGCTTATACTATACTGTCTTCTAATAAGTGTGCAATAACATTATGTCTAAAAAATGTACATAGCTTAATTTAAAACAATACTTTGTTGCTAAAAAATGCAAACTGTCATCTGAGCCTTCAGTGAGTCATAATCTTTTTGCTGGTGGAGGGTTTGAAATATTGCAAGAATTACCAAAATGTGACACGGAGACAGAATATGAGCAAATGCTATTAGAAAAATGGTGCCAACAGACTTGTTCAATGCAGGGTGGCCACAAACCTTCAACTTGTAAAAATGCAGTATCTGTGAAGTGCAATGAAAGCAAAGCACAATAATACATGGTATGCCTTGTAAACTCTGAAAATAGCTTAGGCAACACTGAATTTAAAAAAAAAAAGTTATATGGGGACACAAAAACACTCATACAACTTGATAACAAAATCATTATGATTCCAAAAGGTAAATGGAAAAAAAAGACAATTAACCAGGAAGAAATCTAAGCGATTAAAGCGTGCTAAGTCTCTAGTCTATTAGTTGAACTAAGAAGCAACCACAAGGACCGTCTTTCACCCTCTTGAATCAATGGGGGCCTTTCTCCAGGTGCAGCACTGGCTGCTGACCCGCTCTGGGTGAGGAATATGTCAGAACAATCTTTCTGTGTGGTATTTTGTATCAATGAGGATACTTTTGGTCCTTGTTTCACCTTGACTGTGTAATGGTATTTCCAACCCTCCCAGTGTCACCGCAATGACAGCATGTGTCTTCATGGGCAGAAGACAGTAAGACCCTGGTCGGGTGGTGGGGGAAGCTGGGCTCTGCAGGGTGATGGTGGTCACCCCTGGTGATGGTGTTTCACACACAAACATGCCCCTCCCCTCTCAGCCTCCATCTCCCTTTCTGTGCCCCTGAGGTGCCTGGACCTCTGGTTATAACCGCATCCAGCTACTAATTCACAGGAAACATTTAAGTGGAAAGATGGCAACGCACCTGTTTTTGATGTGCTGTGGGGAACCCAGGCACTGGAAGCTGTCATGGACCATGATGGCAAGTCTCGGGCACACGGCCCCACACTCCTCCATGCTGGGGAGACAAGACCCAGGGGTGAGCCATGGCCCCAGGCACAGGGCTTGAATCAGCAGTGAGATGAGCAAGGAGACAGATACACCATTACTGAAAAGCAGCTAATTTCCCGTAGAGGGACCTCACGAAACCCAAAGAAGTACTTTGGAAATGGATAAGACTTTATTTAGGTGGCCAACTACACAACTAACAAAATATTAGTAGCCTTTCCATATACTAGGAAGACCAGTTACAAAATATGTAGGAGAGAACCTTTAAGCAATAATCCAAAAGAGCAAAATAGATCAGAATGACCATCATAAAAAATGTGAAAGTCTTATGGAAAGAAAGATTTACTAATGGACCTAAATGAAATCTTGAATCAATGGAAAGATGTGTCAGAAAAAGGGAAAAGAATGAACATGTTTTAAATGGGAAATTATTATAGTATAAAAATTATTGTAATATAAATTTGTAAGTTTAAAATATAAGTATAAATATAAAATAAATTTTGTATACAATATAAATAAAAATCATATTTTAATGCAGTATATAATACATAAATAATAAATAATACAGTATATAATACATAATAAATAGCATTGTAATTTGTAACTATAATTTAGCTTGTAATATAATTTAATATTATGTTGATATAAAGTATTCTATCAAGACTTATAATTTACAATTTTATTATTATAAGTATGTAAAAGTATGATACAAATTATAAGAAGGATTTAGTATAATATTGATCAAAATTTTAAGCTTATCACTCCCCATAAGAAAAATTAAGAGGCAGAAGAAGGTCACACAAGAAGATAAGTGAAAGAAGACTCACCCCAGAAAATATTAATATTTTCTTAAATAATTAAAGTGAGACAGTATGCTGAGGAATTACAAGACAGGTCACTGGAACAAGATAAGACAGTGCAGATGAGACATTAGTATTTTAAATACATAGGGGACCAGAGGATGGAAACATTCTAAGCATAAGAGCAATGGAAGAAACTGCAAAGGAAAAGTTTGATGTACTTGACAATGCAAAACTACAAGCTTCTTTTTTTTTTTTTTTTTTACATCTTTATTGGAGTATAATTGCTTTACAATGGTGTGTTAGTTTCTGCTTCATAACAAAGTGAATCAGTTATACATATACATATGTTCCCATATCTCTTCCCTCTTGCGTCTCCCTCCCTCCTACCCTCCCTATCCCACTCCTCCAGGCGGTCACAAAACACCAAGCTGATCTCCCTGTGCTATGCGGCTGCTTCCCACTAGCTATCTACCTTACGTTTGGTAGTGTATATATGTCCATGCCTCTCTTTCGCTTTGTCACAGCTCACCCCTCCCCCTCCCCATATCCTCAAGTCCATTCTCTAGTAGGTCTGTGTCTTTATTCCTGTCTTACCCCTAGGTTCTTCATGACATTTATTTTCTTAAATTCCATATATATATATATATATATATGTGTGTGTGTGTGTGTGTGTGTTAGCATATGGTATTTGTCTTTCTCTTTCTGACTTACTTCACTCTGTATGACAAACTCTAGGTCTATCCACCTCATTACAAATAGCTCAATTTCATTTCATTTTATGGCTGAGTAATATTCCATTGTATATATGTGCCACATCTTCTTTATCCATTCATCCGATGATGGACACTTAGGTTGCTTCCATGTCCTGGCTATTGTAAATAGAGCTGCAATGAACATTGTGGTACATGACTCTTTTTGAATTATGGTTTTCTCAGGGTATATGCCCAGTAGTGGGATTGCTGGATCATATGGTAGCCCTATTTTTAGTTTTTTAAGGAACCTCCATACTGTTCTCCATAGTGGCTGTACCAATTCACATTCCCACCAGCAGCGCAAGAGGGTTCCCTTTTCTCCACACCCTCTCCAGCATTTATTGTTTCTAGATTTTTTGATGATGGCCATTCTGACAAGCTTCTAATAAGTGTGTCAAAATACAGCAAATTAACATTAAAAAAAAACTGCAACAAACACAGTGGGTAACATTTGATGTACTTATTATAAAGAACTCATATATATTAGCATAAAAATAAACAAAAATTCAAGAGAGGAAAAGGGGTAAATAACATATAGAGCCTTTCCCCCCAAAAAATGTTCATAGGTAATAAACATACCAATAAATTACAAACTTAAGCAGCAAATAAGCAATCTTAAAATTATTTTCTAGCCAGGCAGGCATTTGTCATGTATGCCAGTGTGTGTTGCAGAGAAAAATGCTTTTCCCCCATCTCCAGTGTGAATAAGAACAAGAATTCTCAGATCCAAAAAATACCCCAAAAGCTAGATATTCTCTCAATTAAAGATGTCATTTCATATACTACTGTTGGGAATGAAATATGGACATATCTTTCTGAAAACCAATTTGGCAATAATTCCTTACCTAGGAAATTACCTTAGGAAACACAGAAAATATAAATGCATATAACAACTTACTTAGAATATGAAAAAAATCTAGAAACAGCTTGCACAGTAGAATAATATAATACTCATATAAATGAGGGTGCATCTGTGTGTGTGTTAGCCATTAAAATGAGGGTTTCTAGAGTCAATTAATTGTATGTGGAAAAGGTAATGATATAGGAATGGTAAAATGACAATGCATTATAGGAAAATTGCACATATATGCTAAAAAACTGGGAAGACAACATGGGAAAGGAAATAGTCAATCAGGTCGAGGAAGCACAGAGAATCCCAAATGGGATAAACCCAAGGAGAAACATGCTGAGACACATACTAATCAAACTAACAAAAATTAAACACAAAGAAAATATATTAAAAGCAGCAAGGGAAAAGCAACAAATAACATACAAGAGAATCTCGATAAGATAAACAGCTGAGGTTTCAGCAGAAGCTCTATAGGCCAGAAGGGAGTGGAAAGGTATATTTAAAGTGATGAAAGGGGAAAACCTACAACAAAGATTACCGAACAAGGATCTCATTCAGATTCGACGGAGAAATCAAAAGCTTTACAGATAAGCAAAAGTTAAGAGAATTCAGCACCACCATACCAGCTTTACAACAAATGCTGAAGGAAATTGTCTAGGCATTAAACACAAGAGAAGGAAAAGACTTACAAAAACAAACCCAAAACAATTAAGAAAATGGTAATAGGAACATACATATTAATAATTACCTTAAATATAAAAGGATTAAAGGCCTCAACCAAAAGACACAGACTGGCTGAATGGATACAAAAACAAGACCCATATATATGCTGTCTACAAGAGACCCACTTCACACCTAGGGCCACATACAGACTGAAAGTGAGGGGATGAAAAAAGATACTCCATGCAAATGGAAATCAAAAGAAAGCTGGAATAGCAATACTCCTATCAGACAAAATAGACTTTAAAATAAAGACGATTACAAGACGCAGTGAAAGACACTACATAATGATCAAGGGATCGATCCAAGAAGAAGATATAACAATTGTAAATATTTATGCACCCAACATAGGAGCACCTCAATACATAAGGCAAATGCTAACAGCCATAAAAGGGGAAATCGACAGTAACAAAATGATAGTGGAGGACTTTAACACCCCACTTACACAAATGGACATATCATCCAAACAGAAAATAAATAAGGAAACACAAGCTTTAAATGACACATTAGACCAGATGGCCTTAATTGATATTTATAGAACATACCATCCATACCAAAAGAATACACTTTCTTCTCAAGTGCACACAGAACATTTTCCAGGATAGATCACATCTTGGGTCACAAATCAAGTCTTGGTAAGTTTAAGAAAATTGAAATTGTATCAAGCATCTTTTCCGACCACAATGCTATGAGACTAGATATCAATTACAGGAAAAAAAAAAAAACTGCAAAAAATACAAACACATGGAGGCTAAAAATTACCCTACTAAATAACTAAGAGATCACTGAAGAAATCGAAGAGGAAATCAAAAAATATCTAGAAACAAATGACAATGAAAACACGAAGATCCAAAACCTATGGGATGCAGCAAAAGCTGTTCTAAGAGGGAAGTTTATAGCAATACAATCCTACCTCAAGAAACAAGAAACATCTCAAATAAAAAACCTAACCTTACACCTAAAGCAATTAGAGAAAGAAGAACAAAAAAAAACCCAAAGTTAGCAGAAGGAAAATCATCATAAAGATCAGATCAGAAAGAAATGAAAAAGAAATGAAGGAGATGATACAAAGATCAATAAAACTAAAAGCTGGTTCTTTGAGAAGATAAACAAAATTGATAAACCATTAGCCAGACTCATCAAGAAAAAAAGAGAGAAGACTCAACTCATCCGATTTAGATATTAAAAAGGAGAAGTAACACTGGCAGCACAGAAATACAAAGGATCATTAGCGACTAAAAGCATCTATATGCCAGTAAAACGGACAACCTGGGAGAAATGGACAAATTCTTAGAAAGGTACAACCTTCCATAACTGAACCAGGAAGAAATAGAAAATAGGAACAGACCAATCACAAGCACTGAAATTGAAACTGTGATTAAAAATCTTCCAACAAGCAAAGAGCCAGGGCCAGATGGCTTCTTAAGTGAATTTTATCAAACATTTAGAGAAGAGCTAACACCTATCCTCAACATAATAAAACATATGACAAACCTACAGCCAACATCATTCTCAGTGATGAAAAACTGTAAGGATTTCTTCTAAGATCAGGAAAAAGACAAGGGTGCCCACTCTCACCACTATTATCCAACATAGTATTAGAAGTTTTAGCCATGCAATCATAGACGAAAAAGAGATAAAGGGAATCCAAATTGGAAAAGGAGAAGTAAAACTGTCACTGTTTGAATATGACATGATACTATACATAGAAAGTCCTAAAGATGTCACCAGAAAACTACTAGAGGTAACCAATGAATTTGGTAAAGTAGCAGGATACAAAATTAAAGCACAGTGTATAGGAATTTCTTGCAGTCCTATACACTAACAACGAAAAATCAGAAAGAGAAATTAAGGAAACACTCCCATTTCCTACTGCAACAGAAAG